GCTGCTGTTGTTAGGGGCATCCAGTCGTTTTCAGCTCACAGCCACCTGTGAACGACCGGAGAAAACACCTCCTGGTCTTGGCCCATTGTTGTGTTCCAGCCTGTTGTCACGGCCACTGTGTCAGTAAATCTAGTTGAGAGTCTTCCTCTTTTCCACTGACCTGGTCCCAAGAACTTGCTGTCCCTGATAACATGTCCAGAGTAAGTGAGATGAAGTCTCACCATCTTCTTCCAAGACAGGCTTGTTTGTTTCTTCTGGCAGTCCATGCCTTTTCAGTATTCACCAACACCAAAATTCAACTGCGTGCACGGTCCCACAGCCCTGGATGAGGCTGTGTGGACTGACAACCCAAAATGCGCAGGTCAGAGGGTAGGCTGTTGGCCCGCATTCCAAGAGAGCCAGAGGTCCATTCGGATGTAGATGGAGAGAATGCAGATATAGATGGAGAGTATGAGATTGGTTAGAAACATCTGTATGTCTTGGATGCCGGTCACATCCTCCAGGGCACTGATTGGCTGGTCCCGTATCACAAAATGGAGGATCGTGACATGATATTGCATGATGGAAGAGCAATCAGCCCCATGCCGGCCAAACCACTGAGAACCATAGCTCAGTTGACACATAATGTCAACCATCACAAAGGGCATGGAGAAGCGCATTCCCAGACCTACTATTTGAACTGTATCCCCAGAAAAGACACTTTAAGTCCTAGCCCTTGTATTTGTGAATGTGGCCTATTGGAACTAGAGGGTTTTTGTGTGGTGGTGGTAGTGGTGGTGTGTGTGTTTAAACACTGGACTATAAACTCAAAGGTTAGCAGTTCAAACCGAACCAGAGAAGCCAGGGCAGACAGGCCAGGCACTCTGTTTCTGAAAACCGTATGGCAAAGTTTGACCCTACATAGGGGCTGGCATCAGTCAGGATCAATTTCACGACAACTAATAACAGAACTAAACAAGGTCATGCAGGATGGTCATGAATCTTAATCTTTTCTGAGCGATGTTTTACAAATGGTGAGAACAAGGAGGGAGAGAGAGAGAGAATGAATGAACATACGTGGATGGATTTGGGCTTCTGGCCCAGAACTATAAGATCATAAATTTCTGTTCTTTAAACCTTATGCTATTTTGTTGTCTTCCCTCTAGCAAAGGAAGACACCCACTTCTCATCCCTTATGGTTACACACTCATTTGCACACTAGATGATGCAAACAGCACAGAGGGAAGCGGGTTCAAGACCCCCTGCTGGTAAGGTGGATCTGCTGATCTGCTGTGGATATCCGTTCCCTAAGCTGTGTGTATGTGTGTGGGGGTGGGGTGGGGGGAGGGTAGGACTCCCCAGAAAGCTTTGCTCTCTGGTCTGTAGGGGATGATACGTTGATAATGGGCCTTGAGTCTCATTTCTAGCCGAGGTTAGACTAATTAATGGAAGCCTTTGGGTTGCAGTTTGGCCTGCTTTTCCTCTAGTGCAGGGAGGGGTCCTCAAACTTTTTAAACAGGTGGCCAGTTCACTGTCCCTCAGACCGTTGGAGGGCCGGAGTAGAGTTAAAAAAAAAAACTATGAACAAATTCCTATGCACACTAGACGAGTCGGCTGCTAAGCAGGACAGGCAGCAGCGGCAAAAAACACCCGGCAGGCTGATAAATGTCCTCGGCAGGCCGCATGTGGCCCGCGGGCCGTAGTTTGAGGACCCCTGCTCTAGTGCCTTCAAGCTCATTCCTGGAAGATGAAGGAGAAACCCGCAGCTCGGGTCTGTGCTAGGCCGTCTCCTCTCATTCTCACCAGAGTGGTATAGGGTGCTGTGCAGCTCTGAACCGCTCCAGCCACTTCCCTGATGAGACGCTGCCCGCTGGAGCAGGGGGTGACTTGTTACTCTCTTCAACAACCCTTGGCTGGTGGATACAGAGGACTTGACACTGTGCTCCGCTCTGTGATTTTGAAAGGTTTCCTTCAGAATGCTGAAAGGCAATGCCATTCTAAAGGAGCCTTTCTGTTTTCTTGCCCCAGCCTTGATATCTTCCGTCTCCTCTGCTCTGGTGTCCCAGAATCAGCACTGTGCCTCTTTGTCGAATATCAGCCTAAAGACTGTGCACAAGGGAGGAAGAGTTAGATCTTCCTTATCTGCAAGGTCGGAGTTCAGGCCCTTCATTTCTTGGTTTGAAACCAGGAGGCGCTCCCCTGGAGAAAGACGGGGCTTTCTACTCCCCTTACAGGCATAGTCTTGGAAGCTCACAGGGACAGTTCTAGCCTGTCCTGTAGGGTAACGATGAGTTGGCACCCACTTGAGGGCAGTGAGTTTGCTTTTGGTTTGGCTCTTGATAGTTTACATGAGGCTTACACACATACATAATACTGTGTGTAATTTAGACGAA